TAGCCTGGGCAACAAAGTGAGACTCTGTCTCAAAAAAAAAAGAAAAGAAAAGGTCACAGTCAGTCAGTGAACATTTATTGACTTGCCAGGCACCGTGCTAGCCCCCAGGGTACGGAAGGGTGAATAGGATGAACATGGTCTCTGCCCTGGAAATTTTCACGGAAAGGGCAGTGAATAAATAAGAATAAAAGATGATTATGGATTACAATAACTGCGAATGAGGTAAGCAGAGATGTGACGCAGAGTGGATCTATATTAGAAGCATATCTGAAGCCTGCTAAAGGTGACTCTTTGTGGTTTTTGAAGAGATCCAAGTACTCTTCCATCCAAGTTCTAAACCAACTTAAAAATAAGACAAAAAAAAAAAAAAGCAACAGAGGACCAAAATAGCACCTTTATTACTGATAAAGTCTAGGTTAGAAGTCATAGCTTAGTGTGAGGGTCAAGGGAGGGATTGTTAGCTCTGACACTGTGGTTTCCAAGATGGATATGACAATATCTCCATCCCACATGCTCTTCTCAGAATGTGACATTGACATTCCTCCCATGAGAGAGGAGGTCCATGCTCCCTCCCTTTGAATGTGAGAAGGCCTGGGACCCTGGTGGGAGTGATGCTGTACACCTTCGGAGGCTAGGCTGTAGGCGACAGTACGTCTTCCTGGTTCTCTTGGGCTTTTCCTCCTAGAACCCAGCCACCCATGCTGTGAGGGAGGCCAGGCAGCCTGCGGAGAGCCCACATGACAGGGACCTGGCTCCCAGCTCCCAGGCCCAGGTGGGCTCCTAGCTAACAGAGCCAGCACCAGTTTGCCAGCCCCGAGACTGAGCCATTTTGAATGTGGCTTTCCCAGTCCTCCTACCACAAGTCAAGTCACCCTAATGCCCTATTAGCTAAAGCCTAATACAGCTATGGTGAGCTGTCCTCAGTGAGCTCTGCCCACGTTGCAGCTTTGTGAGTAAATTAATGGATTTTGTAATTTTATTTATTTATTTATGAGATGTCGTCTCGCCCTGTCTCCCAAGCTAGAGTGCAGTGGCACAATCATAGCTCACTGCAGCCTCAAACTCCTGTCCCAAAGAGATCCTTGTGCCTCAGCCTTCCCAGTAGCTGGGACTGCTAGGCACATGCCACTGCACCTGGCCCGAATGTTATTATTTTTAAGCCATTAAGTTTTGGGTGTAAGGGGAAGGAGAGTAATAATAATTTATACTCAAAGTCCTCCAACCTGGACTTTGGAACATCCGAGCTGAGGGGAAGTTTGGATTTGTAAAACAGACACACTCCCAGGCCCATGACACAGGGGAGAAGAAAAAAAACTATACTGGGTTTAGGATTTTTGAGACATTAACTACCTAATTGATAAAAATGGTTCATGGCTGAGTGCGGTGGCTCTCACCTGTAATCCTAGCACTCTGAGAGGCCAAGGCAGGTGGATCGCTCACGGTCAGGAGTTCGAAACCAGCCTGAACAAGAGGGAGACCTCATCTCTACTAAAAATAGAAAGAAATTAATTGGCCAACTGAAAATATATAGAACAAAACTAGCCAGGCATGGTGGCACATGCCTGTGGTCCCAGCTACTCGGGAGGCTGAGGCAGGAGGATCACTTGAGCCCAAGAATTGGAGGATGCTGTGAGCTAGGCTGACACCACAGCACTCTAGCCCGGGCAACAGAGTGAGACTCTGTCTCAAAAATAAATAAATAAATAAATAAATGGTTCAAAGGCTGTCACCCCCTAGGGCAAGCACGCGTTCAAGGGACTTTCAGTTTTTGCAGTGACAATTCTATGTTCTGGCATTCCTTCAGTCCTAGGGCAACCGGGATGGGTGGTCACCCTAGGTGCCCCAAGCACTTAACTCATTCCACGTCCATGAGGAGGAAGGAAGAGTATGGAAAGAGGCCAGGGGTATCCAGGAAAAAATTCCTCTCCATGGAGAGCATGATCAGAAAACACTATTACCCTAATCTGACTTTTGAGGTGGAAGTTAAAGGAGCTAGCCATGAGAAACCAGGAGGAAAACATCCCAGAAACAGGGAACATCAAAGTCAAAGGCTCTGAAGAAGGAAAGGGTTTGATCTCTGCACAGCACCACCCGACAGAACTGGGGTGGTTGGGGTTGATGAGGTGGGGGACACAGACGCACTGCTGTTTGTGGAGTAGCCGGAAGCCAAATCAGGAAGGGCTTCATGAGCCTAACCATGGGACAGAGTGCAAATTTTCCTTTTAAGAAAAATAGGATAGGGCTGGGCATGGTGGCTCACGCCCGTAATCCTAGCACTCTGGGAGGCTGAGGCGGGCAGATCGATCAAGGTCAGGAGTTCAAAACCAGTCTGAGCAAGAGCGAGACCCCATCTCTACTAAAAATAGAAAGAAATTAATTGGCCAACTAAAAATATATAGAAAAAATGAGCCGGGCATGGTGGTGCATGACTGTAGTCTTAGCTACTCAGGAGGCTGAGGCAGGAGGATTGCTTGAGCCCAGGAGTTCGAGGTTGCTGTGAGCTAGACTGACACCACAGCACTCTAGCCTGGGTGACAGAGTGTGACTCTGTCTCAAAAAAAGAAAAATAGGATAATACTAGAGCATCTCAGCAGTCAGTGAGAAGATCTTAATTACATTTCTTAGAAGTCTGCCCTGGATGCAGTATGGGGAATGGTTTGAAGGGCTCAGAGTGGAAGCAGCAAGTCCACAAAAAAAAAGACTTTTGTAGTGGTCCCAGCAAGAGATGGCGGGGGCTTGGGTTAAGATGATAGAACCAACAGGACCTGCTGACGGATTGGATTTGAGCGAGCAGAGAAGAAATTCGCAATATCCAATGCCTTCTTGGCTTGAGCAACCAGGTGACTAATATTGGAATTTATGAGCTGAGGAGAGCTGGAAAAATCTTGTTCTTACACTTTCTTTCTTGAATGTGTCAAGTTTCAGGTGCCTTTAAGATGCCCAAGTGCACATGTCAAGCAGGGCGTGAGAGGTGGCGTGCGAACTCAGTAGGTAGGCCACCTGGGTCTGAATCCAGACCCTTCCAGCTGTATAACCTTGAGCAAGTTTCTTAACCTCGCTATGCCTCAGTTTTTGTCTCTGTCAAATGGAGATCTAAAGTTACTACTGGAGATGTCGGACTCTTTTTTTTTTCTTTTTTGAAGGCAGTCTCACTCTGTTGCCCTGGCTAGAGTGTCGTGGCATCAGCCTGGCTCACAGCAACCTCAAACTCCTGGGATCAAGCAATCCTCCTGCCTCAGCCTCCTGAGTAGCTGGGACTACAGGCATGTGCCACCATGCCCGGCTAAGTTTTTCTATATATTTTTAGTTGGCCAATTAATTTCTTTCTATTTTGTAGTAGAGACGGTGGGGTCTCGCTCTTGCTCAGGCTGGTTTCGAACTCCTGACCCTGAGCAATCTGCCCGCCTCGACCTCCCAGAGAGCTAGGATTACAAGCATGAGCCACTGCACCTGGCCAGAAGTAGGATTTTTTGACAAATAATAATACACATAGAACAGCACCTCACAACTGTTAGGTATTAATGTATTTGGGTCTGGCGCTCATGGAAGGAGTTGGAATGGACATATAAATAAATCTTGGAGCCGGTGTATATAGATGGTGTTTGTGGCCATGTACTTAGCCCACACTCCCAACTTCCTTCTCCTTTGCCTTCCTCTGCTGCAGAGGGGAACTGGGGACTAGGTTCCTCAGGCTCCTTTGCTGTTAGAAGTGGCATCTGACTCAGTTTGGGCTGATCAGATGGTTCCTGACAAAGGAATAATGGCAGCTGATGCTACCCTCTTCCTCACCCTGAACGCGGATGTCCCGGCTGGAAACCCAGCAGCCAGCTGGCAACAGTGAGGTCACAAGCAGGAAGGGAAGGCCACCAGGAGGGCAGAGATGCGCCTCTGTGCTGGGGGGTGGCGAATCGTCACCAGCAGCCGCCTATCTCAGCACTGCCGGAAAGAAATGCAAACCCCTGTTTATCAAGCCCCTTGGAGCTGAGTTTATTGGCATGTTGTTATCTGGAGCAGACGCAGTTCTTAATGCCATGGGATTCAAGGCCATGCCATGGGATTCAAGGTCATGCCATGGGATTCAAGGCCGTCCCTTGGTCATTAACAGGTCGGCAGAGAAAAAAGCGTGGCCCAGAACAGCGGAGGGTACGCCCCTGTCTGGAGTTAGGCTGGGAGAGGTGGACCGGGAGGAAGACGAGCCGCCCGGAGGGAGGCAGCCAGCGGCGCCCCCGCCCCGCCCCCGCCCCGTTTATACCCCGGCCCGCCGGCAGGTGTCTGTCGCCAGACCCGGGGCCATGCCCGCCGACCTCAGCGGCACCTGGAACCTGCTCTGCAGCGACAACTTCGAGGGCTACATGCTGGCCCTAGGTAGGGCGCGAGGGGCCCGCGCCCCGCAAGGGGTTCTCGCCCGGGTCTTGGGGTCGGGGCGGGGGTGCCAGGCCTGGCCTGTCTGTCCGTGCCCCCGTCCCCGTCTGTCAGCCCCCCAGCGCCCCCCCCCCGCCAGTCAGCTCAGTCCACCTGCCTGTCCCCGGTCCCGGTCCCTCCGTCTCAGCCCATGCGTCCCCCCGCGGGCCTCCAGTCCCCGAGTGCCCGTGAGTCCCCTCCATCCCGCGCCAGCCACCGCCCCGTGGCCGAGGCTCGGGACCACCGCGGACTCCTAAGCAGGCAGAGGCGCACCCGCGCCCGCACCGCCCGGACGCCCTGGCGATTGGCGACTGTCGCCGCGGGGTCCCCACCGCAGCCCCAGCGGCACCCAGAGCTGGTGGGGACGCAGATTCCCGCGCTCGGGTGCCGGGTACCCGCCGGAGGCTTTGTGGGTTTGCCGCCTGCCCCGTGCGCGGGTCCCAGCCTGGCCCGCCCTTGGCCTCACTGTGCGGACTCCAGGGATTTGAGCACCTACTGTGTGCCCAGCGCTGTCGCCCGCCTGGCGACCCGAGCGGGCTGGGGGTGAGGCCGGGGCCACCTCCTCATTAACCGACTTGGGTCCTCAGTTTACCCATCTGTAAATTGATGGGAAGGGTCTGGCCAATGGTTTATTTGTTCTTGTTAAAAAAAACAGTGGTGTAATCCTAGCACTCTGAGAGGTCCAGGCGGGTGGATTCTGCCAAAGTCTCAGTATGTTTCGAAAACCAGACTGGGAGAAGAGCCGAGACCCCGTCTCTACTATAAAGAATAGGAAAAGGAAATTAAGTTGGGGCACAAACAAAAATATATAGAGAAAAATTAGCCGGGGCATGGTGGGACATGGCTGTAGTCCCAGCTACTCGGGAGGGGCTGAGCGGAAGGAAGATTGCTTGAGGCCGGAGTTGTAGGTTGCTGGAGCTAGGCGGGACACCAGCGGGCACTCTAGCCCGGGGGCAAACAGAGTGAGGGACTGTTCTCAAATGAAAAAAAAAAAAAAAAAGTGGTAAAATCCACGTAACAAAAGTTACCGTTTTGATCATTTTGCAAAGTTACCAGGGTCTGTGGCCTCTGCATGTTTGGTTTTAAGCTCTTCTGAGGCTTGGCCGGGGGTCCTCCGCTCCCTTTTTTCACCACTATTTGCACTACAGGAGGAGATTGGGTTCTGGGCCCCTCAAAGCTGTACTAACAGTTCTGAAGCTTTTCGGTTTCTCTTGTTCCTTGATTCACAAGGAAGGGAATTAATGCTTATTTTTCCCAAAGACAGTGAGTCCTGATATTTTACTCACCTCCCCATTCCCAAAGTGTCATCGTAGGACCATGGGACCCACATGATTCCCCTCCCTGGATTTCTCTGGACTGGTATTCTTGCTTATGGTTGTGGAGGTCAAGGGCTTTATTATTTTTGTGTTGTTGTCTTTTTTGTTTGTTCGGGCGCTGTGTACGGCGTTTTTTTTAAGCGCAACGTTTCCCCGATGATTCTGGCGTCTGTCTTGCTTCGAGTAGAGACCAGGGTTCCCTTTGTCGCTTGCACGCTGGGTCTGGACGTGCAGGGCATGGCATCACTGTCGATCGGACTTGTCTCGTGACGCGCGGTGTGCCCAACGGTGTGGAGCTTTCAGGGGTGATCCGCTCCCTGGCCTAGCCTCGTGACGGGTAGCTGGCTAGAACTAGGGCCACGCGCCCAGGCTTTCCATGGATTTTTTTTTTTTTTTTTGAGACAGAGTCTCGCTTTGTTGGCTCCCCAGGCTAGAGGAGTGCCATGGCCGGTCAGGCCTAAGTCCCACAGAACCCAAAAGCCGACGTTCCTGGGGGCTAAGCAATTCCGTGCCTCAGGCCTCACCGAGGTAAGCTGGGACTAACAAGGCGTGGCTCCACCATGGCCTGGCGTAAATTTTTCTTATATTATATTAGTTTGGCCATTAATTTCTTTATTCAGAGTATGAGACAGGGGTCTTGTCTTGGGTCAGGCTGATTTGGAATCCTGACCTCGAGCAATCTGCCGCGCTCGGCGTCCATGCGAGTGCCAGGATTACAGGCGTGAGCCACCGCACCCGGCCAGAATCAACATTTCAAGTGTGGGAAAATATCTGGTGTTATCTGCCCCCTGGATGGCTCATCTATGGGGGCAAAGCAGCCTCTGGGTGTTGTAATTAGTACTTTTTAAATGTTGTTTAGTGGAATCCTTCACCTGTCCCCAACACTGTCTTCCTTTTCTGTTTGCTCTGCTTTGACCTCTTGTTTGATACTCCCCCCATAATTTCAATAACAACTTATTAATTATCTGCCGTTGTATTAGATCCTGGAAGCTAACAGAAGCTATTTGTGAGCTAGGCTGATGCCACGGCACACTAGCCCGGGCAACAGAGTGAGACTCTGTCTCAAAATAAATAAATAATTAATTAAATAAATAAATAGTGGTAAAATGCACATAACAAAATTTATTTTATTTATACTTGTTTATTATCCAACTCATTTCACAAAGGTTCAAGCCATGTGATGTTGAGTCAACATCTTGCCTCATAACTCCTGTTTTTATTTTTGGTTCAGGTTCCAGAAAGATACAGAGAACACATTAACTCTTATTTGCAATCTTTTTTCCCTCAAAGAAATATAAATGTGGTAAGGATGTCTGGAATAGAGAGGCTATTCGGTGTAACAGAACAAAACTGGAAACTCAGGTAGCTAGCAAGTTGAGTGATCGTCTGTAATTGAATCGAAGTCACATAACCTCTGAGTTGCTTTAGTTTCCCCATTGTTAAATAAAATAAGGTGGTGGAACCAGATCTGATATTCTAAATATGTCTAAATTACAAACCAAGAGGTCTCTTAGCATTTTGCACGGTAGCTGAAATCAGCCTAAAAATCTACTTGCCTGTTCCCAACAAGCTGGGAAGAAAATGATTTGGGACACATTGCTATTTGTGTGGCAATCACCCTCTTCTTCCTTCCGTGTGTAAAGAAAGAACAAACGCACAACCTATTTCCCCCAGTGTGAGGGGCTTGCAAGTAGATGAGCCTGGGATCTTGTCACTCCTGGGCCAGCAGGAGCTTCTTAGAAATGCAGGCTCTCTTGGTGGCAGAGGACACCTGTGATCCCAGCCACATGGGAGAATAGCTTGAGGCCAGGAGTCCCAGAACAGCCTGGACAATACAGCAAGACCCCTTCTCAAAAACAGATAAACAAAAAAATGTAGTCTCTCCTGCCTCCCCCCAGATCTGTTGAATCTGAATCTTCGTTTAACCAGATTATCAGGCAATTAAGATGCAAATTAAAATTTAAGAAACATTGTACTTTGATTTATCAAGTTATCAATGGGACAACTAGTAGAATGTAAATACAGCCCTCCCTCAGTATTCGAGGAGCATTGGTTCTAGAATCCCTTTTGGCTATCAAAACCCAGTGCTTGCTTTGGCAGCACATATTCTAACGATTGAATATCAAAACCCACAGATGGATGCTCAAGTCCCTAATGTAAAATGGCATAGTATTTGCATATAACCTATACATGTCCTCCCATGCACTTGAAATCATCTCTAGGCTACCTGTAATACCTAATACAATGTAAATTCTATGTAAGTAGTTGCTGTACTACATTGTTCTTTGTTTTATTTTTCATTGTATTATATATATATATTTTTAATATGTTCTATTTGTGGTTGGTTGAATCCACAGATGCAGAACCAAGGATATGGAGGGCCAACAACTAATGCAAAGCCTATTATTTCTACTTATTTATGTTCCAATGCCCATGTAAGCAGAAGTATTCAGATCTTTCATGACGACTTCTGCTTCTAGAGGTGGAAAACTGATTTATTTGTACTAACCCTCCTATTGAAGACAACTAAATTAATCTAGAGAAAAAAATATATAAAATATTTATATATATATATTTTTTTTGGAGACAGAGTCTCACTCTTGTTGCCTTGGCTACAGTGCCATGGCGTCAGCCTGGCTCACAGCAACCTCAAACTCCTGGGCTCAAGTGATCCTCCTGCCTCAGCCTCCCGAGTAGCTGGGACTACAGGCATGTGCCACCATGCCCAGCTAAGATTTTTTAGTTGGCCAATTAATTTCTTTCTATTTTTACTAGAGACAGGGTCTCGATCTTGCTCAGGCTGGTCTCAAACTCCTGAGCTCAAACAATCCGCCCGCCTCGGCCTCCCAGAGTGCTAGGATTATAGGTGTGAGCCACCGCACCCTGTCAAAGGTACTATTTTTAAAATTACAATATTGACTCAAACAATAAGTGAGCCATGGAGGTTTAGAATTATTTGGAATTTAGAGTTAACTTTGCTTCTTTTTCTTTTATGTAAGGATAGATTTTCATACTGGAACATGGAAGATCAGTTTGATTGTGGGGGGGGGAAAGATTTCATCCTCACCCATCACTAGGTTTGTGGCTAACATGCCTATAATAAAACAGATTAACAAAAGAAACACATACAAATTTATGTAATATAAATTTTACATGATATGGGAGCCTTCAGAAATGAAGACCCAAAGAAACGGGGAAACTTGTGTATTTTTATGCTAAGTTTGATGAAGAAGTGGATAGTTGTTGAGAAGCTTGCTTGGACAAAAGGTGTATGATCTAATCGCCTTTTTTTTTTTTAATTTTAGTAGTTTATATCTTGTTACTTACATCGAGAAGGTATCTTTTTTTTTTTTTTTTGAGACAGAGTCTCACTCTGTTGCCCAAGCTAGAGAGCTGTGGCGTCAGCCTAGCTCACAGCAACCTCAAACTCCTGGGCTCAAGCGATCCTTCTGCCTCAGCCTCCCGAGTAGCTGGGACTACAGGCATGTGCCACCATGCCCAGCTAATTTTATATATATATATGTATATATGTTTTTTGTTGGCCAATTAATTTTTTTCTATTTTTAGTAGAGATGGGGGTCTCGCTCTTCAGGCTGGTCTCGAACTCCTGACCTCGAGTGATCCTCCCACCTTGGCCTCCCAGAGTGCAGGTGGCGTGAGCCACCGCGCCCGGCCTAACTTAGTAAGGCCTGCTTGTTCAGATTCTTCAGGGAGTCCCTGTGTCTTCAGAGATAAGAGTGTTTCTTCCTCCAGGTGTAGGGAGGGCACCTCTCACAGGAGGGTCTTATAACCTACTTCAGAGGAATGTCAGAGAAGTCTTTTCTGGTCTGCTTCAGGGGAGAAGGGTGGGAGAAGGTTAGAGAGTGACCTTCCTGCTTCCGCCGTTTCCTCAAATGCCAACGTGCCATATTTGGGGGTGGCGTGTCCTGAAGCACATAATTTCAAAACAACTTTCTGAAAACCAGCAACTCTGTTGCAGCTTCAGATCTAGTGTGTTAGAGTACTAAGTACTTAAGTTAGGCTTGTAGCACTAGAATAGCTATTTATGTAACACTGTAATAGTCAATTTTATCTTAAGACTTAGGTTAGCAATCCTGGATATTATTGATTTACTTGAATATGTACAATTTTTTTTAAGTTTTTCTCATTCTTTTGATGCGGAAAAATAAACAAAAATGATGAATAGATATTATTTTTTTCATTTTAAATTTTTTAAAATTAAAAAAAATAAATGTTTATGCTTTTTCATGCACACACAAGGAAAATAAATTCCATAAACAATTATTCTGGAACTTCGGCTAGGGCTTGTTGGTCACGCTGTAAATTCCTACACATTCGGGAGCTGTAGCCGGAGATCGCTCCAAAGGTCTAGAGTGTGAAACCAGCCTGAGCAATTTGAAGCTGAGATCCTTCTGTCTTCTACTAATAAAATAGAAAGAAAATTAATTGTGCCAAGCTACAAATATTTGAGTAAACTAAAATTATTCTGGCAATTGGTTCGCATGCCTGTAGTCCGTATGCTATCTCCAGTGATCGCTGGGGCAGGAGGATCGCTTGTATGCCCAGGAGTTGGAGTGATGTGAGCTGAGCTGTGATGCTAATGCACTTCTTAGCTGGGGCAATCAGAGTGAAGACCTCTGCCTTCAAAAAAAAAAATAAAAAGCATTTGAATCTTATTCCACTTTGTCAACTTAAAATAATCAAAAGGGTCAGAATCAATTAAGAAATTGGCCGGTGGTCGCATGTGGCTCACGCCTGTTAAGTCCCTTAGCCTCTGAGGTTCCTGAGCGGGCGGATTCTCGAGGTCGAGAATGTTCGAAACGCAGCTTGAGCAAAGAGCGAAACACCCCGTCCTCTTACTCATCAAATTATTGAAATTAATTGGCCAACTAATATATATATTTGCATGTTAAAATTAACCGGCATTTTGAGTGGTCTGAAAGGCCCGTAGGTTCCATCGTACTTGGGAGGCCTGATAAGCAGGACGGATTGAGAGCTTAGTAGCCAGGAGTTTAGAGGTTGCTGTGGACTAAGGCGACGCCTACGGCACTGCACTCTAGCCCTGGGCGCCAAAGTGAGACTCTGTCTCAAAAAAATAAAATAAAATAAAATAAAAAATAAATAAAGAGAATTTATTCAAGTGCAAAGTTTGAGGATAGCCCACCAGAAACACTAACTCTAAAGGCGTGGGGTCAGTTTTCTGAAATGGGGAAGTTAAGGTTTCATTAATTAATATAGACAGAGACAGAGGAATTCTTAGCAGGATTACAACAGTTTTTATGAAAGGGTGGTACATAGTTATAACAGCTTGATCGGTTATAAGCAGTGTTTCATTTTGGGAAGGGTTTGGAAGTGTTTACAACATTTTTTACATGGGTGTAATAGTCATGTGTTTTCTGCCATCAGATCTAAGCAAAGCAGGACAATAAATAGGAAGTTGCCAAAAGGGTCGCTCTTAATAATTAAGAAGGCAGAAAGGTTTTGTCCCTGACATCATTTAATTCTCTCTAGTCATTGTACAGAATGAGGAAATTAAGAGAACAAGTTAATCTATAATCTGAGAAACAGACGTTGTAACCATATGTGACTCAGATCAAAGTCACACCTCTCTCAAGGCTCAAAGTAA